AACAGACAAAAATATTTATTTCACAGTTGGGTGATGAATAAGAACCTCGGTCACCACTGTACCTGTGTATATGTTATGGTTTTATATTTAGCTGGTGAGCATGATTTATTCTCTCCATTCATTTTAGACTTTAAACCTGAGCAGAGCCCTGCGGATTAGTGCTTTGCAGAAAACCTTCCTTGTCAGTCATTTCTCTGTTAGATTTTGAGTTACTGATAGCAGAGATAACATTTTTGTATCTGTACAATATCTTGTGGAGGCTAAGATTAAAGTTTTCACTTTTATTTTGAGTCACCTGTTCCTTCAGAGATTTTGCTTCCACACGGGATGGTGGGGGAGGAGGAAGCTGAGACCTTCTCCAGGGTGGTGGCCAACCATAATTCCCAAGAGGCAGCCTCCCTGGGGGGTTCCCGTCAGGTGTGAGGAGAGGGGAGTGGGTGATGGTCTTAATGTCCTCAGGGGGCACCTGGCACTGTCTTCTGGGGGTGCCCACAGGAATGGGCAGTTCCCTTTCCCTGAAGCCCCTGGGTAAGTGCCACCAACCAAATGGTGAAGAAATAATGTGACATTTCTTAGTGACATTTGATAAAATTGTACCAAATAACGCCTGGTTGCCTTTCACAGATCTGGTGACTGTCTTCAGGTACGACCACTGCGGTCATTCTGGCCAACCCAGAATGTCCACTTAGCAAGTGTTAAACTTACTGCGCTAGTCTCCTCGAGGGAGGACTCTGTGGAAATCAGATCAGATTTTAAAAGGGTATTGCCAGCACTCTTTTTCTTGAAATCAATTTATGTGCACTCATAATTTAAGTACTCCTTTAGCAAAATTATTAAATGTGATTAATTTACTACACTGCCGATTTAATACCCTTCAGTGGCAGAATTTTGATTACATAAATCCTGCAGCCTACAAAAATGGCTATTTCTCATTAATTTGTGATTTCCCAACTAAGTCTCAAATTAGTGGACATCAATTTCAGACTTCAGGATCGCTCAAAAGTTTTCAAGCCTTTTATTTGCATTTCCCATAACCTTCCCCTCCCCTTTTTAAAATTTGCTCTTTTCACCTTTTCAGGGTTTTTTTTTTCTCATTTGTTTTGGGAGGTTGTTTGTTTGTTTGTTTGTTTGCATTTTCTTTCCTGAAACTTTGAACTCCATAGATGGGCGTTAAGGCCTGGTTTAGACGATCGGGTCTGCTTTCTTTCATTTCCATGTGTTGTGTTCTAGAGCCTGTTTGGTCTGAAGATACAAATTCACAGCTGGAGAAAGGGATCTGAACTTCATAGCTTAGCCTTTGCGTTCTTACATGTGCCAAGTACAGACTTCACATGTTACCTCGCTTACTCTCATCAGTCGGTGAGGAAGCCGAGGCACCTGAGCTCTGTCAGCAGCTCATTCAGACCGAGGAGGCGTCCCGCTGTGTGGGACCTAAGAGCTCTCTGGGGCCCAGACCTGATCTGCTTTAATTAAAAAGTTATCAAATGTTACATAAATCTCCTGCGTCTAATGGATTCACAGCCCCAAATAGAGTCATTTTGGGCTTTAAAACTCTAAAGGCAACACTGACTTTGATGTGTTTATAAGAAGCATTATTTAAATGTGAAATTCCCTCTTCTCCCTAGCTGTCGCTCTGCGTCTAAAAAGCAGCCTGGGCAGGCGCCGGTCAGACGCAGGGAGCTCTCACAGGTTTTTCCGCCCCAGCAGCAGGGTTTTCTTGAAGCATCATTTGACAATGTTACTGAAACAAATAAAGCTACTTACAGGGGCTCGAGTTCTGACCCACATGATATCAAGTGGGAAGACATGTCTGTGGAAATCTGAGTCACCTTTTAGCTCATGGGGAAGGCTGGAGTGCGCTGCCTTTGATAAAGGAGCAGCATATGAATGGGTGATGGCTGCCTTTCTTCCATCTAATTCAGCTGCTTCCTATTCCATCGAAAACCTCCGTTGGAAAGCAATTTCCCTCACTTGACCCATTTTCCTTCCGCATTATATCTTCTTCTGGTTCCTCAACACAAAATGGGAAAGAATGCAGCTGTGAATCAGGAGGCGAGGGACTCAGACCCCGCCTTTGGAGTGAGCGCGCTCTCCTTTCATGCTCGGGCTCGGGTGGAGGGCTAGCAGCTCTGCTTCCTCCCTTAGATGTCACAGTTTCCAGAAGAGAGAGACGTTAAGTGCATGATTGGTAGAGAGACTTGTGGGTACAGAAAAAAATAGGTGTGGGGGGTACGGATCTTGTTTAGGGGTTCGGACAATGTAAGGATGTTAGCATTTTAGTGAACATATGTGCAGTAAGCCTAATATTAATATATCCGTATTTTTAAATGTCTCTGGACACCTAGGTCTCTTGATATCATCATCTGGTAATTTTTAACACCTCCATTAGTCACAGGTATGACATGCTATCCTGTGATAACATTTACTTCACATCCATGGTTAAGGGGCTTAAATTGGCTTCTGTCCTTGCCAGGTCAAATTCTAAATGTCCCAGCATTCCTAGCATAGCACCAGACTCCTCCATGGAACCTTCTCCACCTTTACTCATGTGAACTTTCTCTTTGCCATTGACACTCACGCCTTTGGTGACCTCATTCAGTCCCGTGACTTTAAATGCCACACATACCTGAAGACTCCTAAGTTCTATGTCACCAGCCTGGACTGCCCCAGATGGAGCATTTGCATATCCGCTTGCCTCCTCTACATGCTGCCAGAACGCCAGGCCTGCTCTGGCCCCGCGTCTTTCTGGCGCACCCCCCGCCCCCCCCCATTTACCCGAGAGCACCGAATCCTTCTAGGCACTCCAGTCAAACCTTGGGCGTCCTCTTCCTCCATAATCCTTAGGAAATTAGACAGGAGGCTTTTAAATAACCCGAGAACAAAGGAGAGATCACAAGGAAAGTTAGAAATATTTTCAACTGAATTAAAAAAGGAAACACAACGTATCAGAATTTATGTGATACAGCTACACTGTACTCAGAGGGAAATTCGTAGCTGTAAGTGTCTGTGGCAGGACTCTCTGAAGTGCGTCTTAGGAAGGACTGCTACGCTCAACATTACAGAATAACGACAATCTGTAAGACCCTCCCCCCCGGCCCCGCAAGGCGGAGCTGCCGAGTCCGATTCTTCAGGACTGAAGGTTTGGGTGGTCCTGTCATGTTGAGAACCCTGCCTGGCTGAGGTTCTGATTGAGGACAAAAGAAATCTGGGATGGACAGTGGAAAAGAAAGTCATGGACGCCATCATGGCCTCAGGACCAGGTACAGAAGTGAGAACTGGAGTAATTTAGCAAGTTTTTTCTTTGCTTGTTATATCTATATGTTTAACTTTTTCCTTCTTCCCCTTATTTTACATCCAAATTATTGGGAGTTAATTTGACAGTTTAGCCTTTGAGAACAGAATATTTCGGGGGACTGTAGTGAAGGTAAGGAGTAAGGAGTGTGGCAGTGATGGTTACGGTGGCTCTTAGGACTGTGGCTCCTCACTTTGGGGAGAAGGCAGAGCATCTTCATTTATGGGAAGACAGGTACATGCTGTCGGGTGCAAACTGTTGTCTTGATGCTCTATGTAGTTCAGTGTGGGGACACCGTCTATGGAAGCTGAGTGCCAAAGCAACGGACTGTGCCAGTGTCTCATTCCCAATCTGTGTAAATTCCAGTCTGTCTAAGCCCAGCCTGGTGATACTGGAGCTGGGGGTCAGGGTGTACGCCAGGGGCCAGGAACCTCAGGGTGGAGAGGAACTCTCAACATTCTGCCTACCACAATATGAAATAGAAATAAGGAATAAAAGGTGAGAAGATGGTTTTATTTATAGATTGTATACCCAGAAAACTCAAAATGATGAGCTAAAGAGTTACTTGATGCAATATAGATTACTCAGTAACCTGGCCAGATACCTACCAGCAGTAACCAGTTAGGTGATGCATGAAATATTGATACTATACATCAGCGGTTCTCAACCTGTGGGTTGTGACCCCTTTGGCAGTCGAACAACCCTTTCACAGGGGTCACCTAAGACCATCCTGCATATCAGATGTTTACATTATGATTCATAACAGTAGCAACATTACAGTTATGAAGTAGCAACGAAAATAATTTTATGGTTGGGTCACAACATGAGGAACTGTAAGGGCCAGAAGGTTGAGAACCACTGCTATACATAGTAACAAGAAAATATAAAATCCCTAGAAATGAGCTTAATATATATAGGAAATGAATATGAAGAAAAGGACAGTGTCACTGAGAAGAGAGAAAGAAACAGATTTTTCTCAAGCAGGAAAATCAAATCCTACAGTTTTCAGTTCAAATAATTTGCAGGTTTAAAGCAGTTCTAATTTTTAAAAAATACATATTTTTCTTTTGGAACATGACAAAATGGTTATAAATTTCATCTGGAAGGATAAAAAAATATATATATATATAAAAGGCTAAGTGTCTGTCTAACTGGTAGCTATGATGCGCACTGACCACCAGGGGGCAGACGCTCAACGCAGGAGCTTCCATGACACGCACTGGCCATTTAAAAATAAATGGCACCATGGACCTGGCGTCAACAAACCAATACTCGGCTTCCCCCAAGTGGGACACAGGCCCTGCCACCACCCCAGAGCAACACCCCACCAAATCACAGCCAACGCTGCCAAGACCCCATGGCACAAAATGCGGCCCACAACCCAGCCCAGCCTGGAAACGGTTGCTGTGGGCACCGGGTAATGACATCACGTAGCAACGCCTGGCTTCCTCTCCCTAGTGACTAGCCTCCTTGGAGTTTCTTCAGCCCAGGAACACGGCTTGCTTTATGGCCAGGTGCAAACATTTTACGCTTTAGCCAGATGTCTGTGAAGCATTTTCTCATGCCTCATCCCATTTGATCCTCACAGAAGTCCTGGAGTAGGTAGATAAGAGACTTGGTAGAATCCTATTTTCTTTTCATTAGCCAGAAAATGAGATTTAGAAGGTTTAGAAACTTGACCCAACTGAAAAGAAGTAAGAAATGGGGGACCTTGAAAATGACTTCAGGTTTTCTCACTGCGCAGAATATAGTCAAACACTGATACAGGTAAATATTTTACCCTTTGTTCTCCCTGTGTGATCTATAATAATCTGCTTCGTGTTGATATTTACTGCTGTGTTGCTGACAATTACCTGTAAGAGAAGTTGGGGTGCTTCACTGGGCTGGAAAAAGTTTAGCTAAATCAGAAAGCAGGTCTAATTAAGCAAATTTATTATCTATATCTATATATATAAAAGCCTAAGCGACCGTTAGGATGGAACAACTGGGGGCAGACGCTCAACGCAGGAGCTGCCCCCAGCCTGCAGGCCCTGATTGCCGATGGGGCCTGCCAGCCAGCCTCCCGGTCACTGCCCCTGGCCGGCAGGCCCCGATCGCCTGATTGGGGCCAGGCCCTCGGGCTGGGACGGGGAGCCAGGGGTGGGTAGCAGCAGACGCGGCCCCTTTCCCAGGGGGGCTGAGGGCCATATTTATAAAAGGCTAAGTTGACTCGCGCATGCGAGATGCATATAAAGCTCTTGCTGGTGCCAATTGCACGTGTGTTTTGATTTGTCATTGTCAATCGTGAATTTGGTTGACACTTCTATTATAGAGAAAGGGAAAATAGTGATATTAAAATATTTCTTCTAATTAATTTCCTTTCAATGTGCACGAATCCGTGCACCGGGACACTCGTACTTAAATAATTTTTTTTAAAGAGTAACGAGAGAAACTAGTGGTAACAAATAACCACAAATTTTAAAAACAGGAAGAATTAGAATCGTGTGGCCCTGGCAGAAGCACGCAGTTATTAATGGAACAGAGTGGCCTTCAGGCCCATCTGTTGTATGTGACTTTGATATATGAAGAGTCAGTGTCACAAATGAGTGGAGAAAGGAGGGGTCGCTTAGTCCTGGGTGCGAGTGGCACCCAGGCACTCTGTTCACTGTTTATTTCAAAAGAGACCAGAGTAAATCCAGTGTCTACCATACACCTGAATGAATTTTAAATAAAGCATCATCTGTATATAAAAAAAAGGAAATCTAGGAAATAAAAATAAATTTAGGGAATATTTCTGCACTAAGTATTTTATAAAAGTTTTTCGTGGGATTTATGGGAAATGAAAACATCTGAATGCCAAAAATAACTAAAGCAAATTAAAAATGGGAAAAATATAAACAACATGGTTAACATTTAACATATAAACTCTTATAAATTGATTTAAAAAAATCCCCTAAGAACCCAGTGGATAGGCCAGGAGATATAAACAGTCAATTCACAGAAAATTCATTCAGGGTAACAAATATGGGGGAATATGTTTATTAATAATCAAAGAATTGCTAATTAAAGCCAGTGAGATACTTTTTCTATCTGATTAACCAAGATTACAAATTGTAATCTCAGTACTTGGGAGGGTATTTTGAAATAAGCACTCTTGTACTCAGCTAATAAAAATATAGATTATTAAAATGCTTTTGGATAACAGTTTGGTTATAAGTACTGAAACCCTTAATTACATTCTTTTGTTTCATTAAGGCTGCTGTGCTACTGGAAATCGCTCACAACAATAGTCGCAAGTACAGAACAAACTACACGAAAGGGGATTTGTGACGGAAATAGTGTAAAATGGGAATCCCCAAAGAAACAACATGGGAATTATTAAGAAAATTATTATCTATCCACACAATGACAGTATTGTGTTGTCATTAAAAGTTATATTGATGAAAATATATTTGTTTAGTGTGAGAATACCTTGTTATAAATGAAAAAAGCAGAATGTGAAATTTTGTATAAAGAATTATTTCAACCATCTCTAAGTTCAGCAAATGCCCTGAACTGAGCCAAGCCTCATCGAGGTGTAAGTTAGACGGTGGTCACCCGCCCCCAGCGGTGTGTGCAGTCAGCAGTGCTTCCCGTTCTTCCTCCTCCACTGCGTCTCCTTCCCAAACCAGCTTCTCTCCTGCAGGCCCCGCTGTCATCTGCTCTCACAGGAGCCGCTCCTGCGCTCCAGTGACTCCCGGTTAGAAACTTGCAGCTCCCCCTCTTCTCTTTGTCTGAGCATCTTTAGACTCCAAAGGGCTTGGTGATAACCAGCATCTTTCCCAGTCGGTGCTACTGTCTATGTCAGACTTCACAGGCTGCTTCCAGGGATTTGAAATGACACGGCTGCTTTTTCAGTGTTGGGCGCTCTTCTTTGAGCTGAATGTTTACATCTCTTTTACGGTACATGAGCCTCCAGATGAATAACCATTAGTGGGAGAAGCAACATTAATTTCTCAAGGAAACTTGTACTTTTACTTGAGAGAGGCAAGGGTGTATAGGTAGTTGTGTGCTTACGACAGTTTCCTAATATGTAAGCTCTGTGAACCCTCAGGACGCACACACACACTGCGGAGTGAATTACCACCGCATGGGCGTATCTCTGACCAGAATGGGTTCCTGCAGGTCCTGACTCCTAAGTAATTGATGCAGAAGTGATAGATGGACGTTTGAACGACTGCCTCATCCTCTGAGCCTGACCTTTAAATGCTGATGTTCCTGAAGCCACTTTTCTGTCAGTTCTCACGCCTTCCCTGCTTGTTTTCCCCTGTGACTGGCTTTGATTTCTATCTCTACGTTGACATCTCTGAGGGTTTCCTCCAGCCGATTGGTTTCCTCTGAAACCAGAAGGCAGTGTCTAGCTGCCAGCTCCCTGCCCAGTTTAGTGCTCAGCGTCTCAGACTCCCCTCGTCCTGCTCCGGTAGTTTTCTCCGTGAGCGATGCCGTCCCACCTAGTCCCACCGGGGAGAGACCTGGGTGCTTCTTGATGCCGCCCTCTCCCTTATGCTCATAGCCAGGTCCCCACCAAGGTCAGTTCCTTCGCTCCGAACTATTTTAAACCCCGCTTTCTGTCCCCAAATCCTCTGCTGCTCCCCAGATCTAAACTGCCAAGTCTACACTCTTAGATTGACAGCAGGAGCTAGTCACTGGTTTCCACTTGTCCACACTCCCCTTATAGTAATTATTCTCTTGCTTAAAATTCTTCAGTGGCTTCTCATTGTTCTGAGGATAAAAAACAAAACTTGGACCTAAGTCTCCTCTGAGGATAAAAAACAAAACTTGGACCTAAGTCTCCTGATTAGGAGTCCCACTGCTCATCGGCTCTCCCTCCCCCAGGCCACTCCTTCCGCCGTCCTGTTGTGCCCCTACCACTCAGCTCAGTACCCTCAGCACTAAGCTCACTCCCCTGGGAACCTTCAGGCCAGCCCCGCCCTGTCCTTCCCATAGAATCCAGTTAGGTCTTTAACTTGGTGAAGTCTAGATATGGCCTCGATATATTATTTCTGTCATAAAGAATGGCTTAATAGGAACTATAAAATTTGTCTTCTAAAATTTAATTGATTTTTACCCAATGATTTCACAAGGTAGATAAGCTTTGGTTTGTTATTTCAGGGGCACACTGTGTTTTATTTGTTCTAAGAAACACATTTCCCACCTTTAACGTGTCTGAAATGGATGTTCCTCTACAGACACTGGCATAGCATGGCGTTATGGGCAGCAGCTTTCTTTCTTGTGGTGCATAAAACGATGGTGTGTCTTATATTTGAAGGCATCTTAGATTAGATAAAATTTGGTTTTTGTAACCAATTCACTCTGGGAGATCTACTGGGGGCCTGGTGGTGCTCAGTCCCTCCACGGAGCATTTCTAAGACTTCTCCTCCCTGTGCAGGGGGGCGGGCCATGCGTGGGCTCCACAGGCTTAGTTCTCCCTGAATGCATCTCCCCTTCTTCCGTTTGGAGGAAGCTTAAGGGCACATGTAGAGACCCTTCCCGCAGCCTTCCTCGTGCCTAGCCATGCGCATGTGAAAAGCTCTGGCGAATTGGATGTGAGCAGAAATAGCTGAACTCCCAGGGCATGATCCAAAAGGAAGATTTACTCTCCAGTTCCTCTTTTTCCTCTTAGTGAATGAAGAGAATGTGGGGATGACCTCATGGAACAAAGATACCCGGCCAGCCTCTGGACTGGGGTCTGTTTGTTTGTTTGTTTGTTTATAATCCACCTGAGGATATTTTCCATTGATTTTTAGAGAGAGGGAAAGACAGAGAGAAACATCTATGTGAGAGAAACACATCGATTGGTTGCCTCCTGCAGGCGCTCTGACCAGGGTCTGGGCCAGGGAGGAGCCTGCAACCGAGGTACGTGCCCTTGACCAGAATCAAACCTGGGACCCTTCGGTCCGCAGGCCAAGAGCCAAACCAAGTAGGGCTGGGGTCTCTTTGATACAGCAGCTCTACCTGTACTGTAACTAATGCATCGTCTCAGAGATTGTCTTGATTTGGCTTAATTTCCAAATTAGGAGTCATTCTTACCACCCTCCGTCTGGAGCAGACACTCTCGCTCTTGCACTGCAGTGCGGGAGGCGGTGTGGTGTGCTGAGTGCAGACCTCAGCTTGGTTGGCAGCTCTGCCAGGGGCTGTCACACTGGGCTGCTCAGTGGGATCCTCTGAGCTTCAGAGCCCCCCCTCTAACGTGCAGGTGACGGCCATGGCACCAGATTGTTTTGAGGAGGGAATGAGGTCATCTGTTTAAAAGACTTGCTAGCCCCGTGCTGCGTAATGACAGCCGTTGCTATTATTAGTTTCCCTGAGGCTGGCCTCACACTGTCCGCTGCCCTGGTGGTTTTTCCGTGGGACTTGTCACCCCTGGAGGATAGTTGAGGCTTTGAGAGCTCCCTGAGTTTTCCTGACATGCTTTTGCCTGGAAGGAGGTTTGATAAGCCTCGCCTTTTGCATTCTCCCAGCACTTGGCTCTGTCCCTGTGTGCGGGGCCCCTGCAAACGCGGCTGGACCTGCCTGCCAGGGAGACCTCTCGAGGGAAGCCATTAGGACAGAGGAACTGAACTGTAAATAGTAACATAAAATAGTAACAAATATCTGCTAATTGCTTTCATTATGGGGCAGACTGTAGTTAGCTCTGGGTGCCTGTGTTGATCTGTTACTAGGTGCAGTCCCGTTAAAGTCCTTTCTAGACTTTTTTTTTTAATCAGAAAGCCAGAATGGTGGCAACTAGCAGTAGGTTGATGTTGGGGAAGTAATGGGAAACATTGGTTTTTTAAAGCTGCTTTATGAATATAATATTGGATACGCTGTTCTACAAGTTTACGTACCTTGAGTATTAGAGTTGATGTAAGACGGCGATTCCCAGGCAGTAGTTCAAGATGCAGAAACAATAATCTAAGACCAGTAAATACTTACTAGTTACAGAGTATGTGACCAAGCAGGCCAGGGTCTCCAACTGCCCAGCCCTTCACTGCTTTGTGTTTGTTGAAATGATGACTGAAGGCTAAACCTGGTTATGTAAGAACAGAATTGCAAATTACAGAGCACTTGTTTTTCTTAATTAGGTAGCTAGTTCCCACAGTGGTCGGCAAACTGCGGCTCGGCAAACCACGGCTCTCGAGCCACATGCGGCTCTTTGGCCCCTTGAGTGTGGCTCTTCGGCCCCTTGAGTGTGGCTCTTCCACAAAATACCGACTTCTGCGCATGGGCCACGGAGTTTCAATCGCACTGTACGTGCTCGCCCGCACGTGGTATTTTGTGGAAGAGCCACACTCAAGGGGCCAAAGAGCCGCATGTGGCTCGCGAGCCGCGGTTTGCCGACCACGGCCCTAGGAGCTCTGGCCACACTTTGTTTTTTATCCATATTAACCTGTTGTGTGTTTAAAAATAAAATAGAAAAGTAATATTTTTTCTTCGGTTTCAGTATAGAAACTGTTCAGGCAGGCATTGGACTCTGGCACATACCCTTGAGACCGTCTTTCTAACAGCCTCACAGGCCAGCCCTGGACTTGGCGGGCGTTTCCAGATGCGGGGCCTGGGGAAAAGGTGGTAGCATTTCTTTCTGTCCTTGTCTGTCCCCTCGTCCAGGTTGTCACGAAGCTCTTCTGCCTGTCTGTGCATGTGCCTGCCCTTGCAAATCAGAATCGAACTTTGAGCACGAGGTAATTTAATGGCTCCTGAAACGGAATTACCGTTAACAGTCCTCGTAGTTCACAGAATTATAGAAGTTTTTCATAAAAAGCTGCCTGCGATCATTGGCAGTCCAGACCTCATTGCTGCTGCCCGGGCGGCGTTTCATCGTCTCAGTGGCGCCTGCGGTTGTACGGCCTGGGACTGGGTCCTTTCTCTTGTAATCACGAAGGAGAGCCTTTTCTAAATTTACCCAAATGCACCTGAGTTTTAGACACAGAAATACTGTGGAGCTGAAAAAAGTGACATTAGCCAAATTCAGGCAAATGGCTGAAAGTAAAGAAAGCTTTAAGAATGTGGAAGAGCAGGCAAAAGGAGGAACCACTGCCCAGGCTGCGTCCAGACCTTATTGGATGGAGGACACAGCTGTGACCCACCAGGTGGCAGAGAAGTCACTGAGCAGGGGTGGCAGGGAAGTGGTTGGATTGCCAGGCAAGGAGGGGGTGGGGCTGCAGGCCTCTGCTCCCACTGGCTCTGTAGCGCCCTCTACTGGAAAAGCTTAGCATCGTGCCAGCTGGCAAAAAAGTGCTTCGGGGCCCAGATCTGCTTTCACAGAGCGGCCAAAAAGCTGAGTGCGGAGCTGAGAAGCAGGAAATTAATACACAGCACCCTTCCCCACCTCCAAGTTCCTGAGCAGTTGGAAGTAGGCACTTTTGGGGAAAGCATGCTTATCATTTCATTGGTTTAAAATTTTTCTAGCAATGAAATCTTCATTTTTT